TAACATTATGTCCAAAGATGAAAAGATACTGGGGCTGATAGAAGTTAAGAGAATTGCCCATAGCGCTTAGGTGGCATTAATACCCATATCCTTATTTAAGTCAAGAAATGCTTTTTCTGTTAAGCCAAGTTATATATAGCTTAATAATCTATTTTTACTCACCTTCAGGAATCAAGAAACATAGCAGAATGTGACAAAACTGTACAACAGCACAACGATTTTGAAAGACTGTCTGGCAAGATTTTTATGAAGTTACGTTAACCCTATGAGCTAGCAATTCAGCTCCTGAGTATTTACCCAAAGGAAATGCTAGTATCTGTTCACAAAAAACTTGTACGTGAATGTTTGCCGCAGCTTTAGAGACCACTGTCAAAACTCATGAAGGTGTTATTTCTGCATTTCACTAGGTGAAATGAAATTCAATTCAGAAAAGAAAGAGAGCACAGCGACAAGAACAAAGACAGATTTTCAACTTGAAATACAAACCACATCAACTTCACTGGAGCCGCTAGACATCTTTTTTGTGCAACAGCAGCACTCCACCTCCTCGGAGTTGGGCCTAATTATACTTAAACTTGCTGGAGAGTTTATTTGTGAAACTCCCTGGTCACCTAGGTCTGGTAAACCACCTACTCCTGAAAAACAACACATAAATAAGTTACTTCACAGACTTACTACCATAATCAACTTAATAGGGTTATGTTCTCCGAATGCCAAGTTAAACTGAATTGGAGTCCTGAATTTTAGAGAGTGACAAAACAATAATTCTTCCATTAGTGATTTAGAATAAACCCTTAATAACTGAACGGCTAGGCTGCCACACCTAGGAATAAGAATCAAGATCACACGCAAATTCCAAATTGTGAAGTGAATGCTTCACAACTGAAAGGCTACAGAGTAAATGCTGGAAACAAATGAACAAGGGAACACCACTCCTAACTGCTTTTTGAAAGCAGCTGAGGGGCCCCTGGGTGGCTCAGTCAGTTGAGCGTTGGACTCTTGGTTTCAGCTCAGGTCATGATCTCAGGGTTGTGGGAAGGAGCCCTGTGTCTACCTGGGTTTCTTGCCCTTTGCCCCTCCCCCAACTCGTGCTGTCTCTCTCTCTCTCTCTCCCCCTCAGATAAATAAATCTTTAAATTAAAAAAAAAAAAAAAGATTCTCTTTCTCCCTCTCCCCCTCCCCACTATGCGCTCTCTCTCAAAAAAAAAAAAAACAAAAAACCCTCCAATTTGAGGTGTAACTTTTATTCTTTAAACTGGTTGTTTTATTCTGATTATAAGACTAATAATGAATAATTAAACTGCTGTGTTTTCATACAAAGGAAGCCTACACAGCAACGAGAATGAACCAACTATTGCCACACATGAGGATGAATCTCACAACCATACAGGTGAGTAAAACTCAGATACAAAAGAGAAAATACTCTATGATTCAATTGATCTAAAGCTCAAAAATAGGCAAAAATAATCAATGGTGGGCTAGGTCTTTCCAAACCAATACCTTTAGATATACTGTAGTCACTCTAACAACTTCCTCATTTTCTATCTTGCAGATAGGCCATGATTTATGTAAGAAGTCCCCAATTCACAGATACCTGACAAAGACGACTGTGGAGCAGTCTTGCACTTCTGCTTGAACTCTCAAGGAATAAGAATATTGAATTCAAATTTCCCAACTCTAAGAGTATTTCCTATAATCTCATTGTACTTATAACAATTTTGTTTTATATTTTATACGTGTAATTTTTCATTACATATGTTTCACTATAGAAAATTTGGAATATACCACAAGGTACAGATAATAATACCTAACAGATTTTACAGCCGACTCTGTGCCAGGCAGTGTTCTAAGCACTTGATGTGTGTTAACTCATTTAGTATTCCTGACAACCCTATAGGGCAGGCTCTGTTATTACCCCCATTTTTCTTAAGAGAAAATTGAGGCTAAGTGAGTTTAAATAATCTATCCAGGTCTCATAGCTAGACAGTGGTGCAGTCTGGCTCCAGAGTCTATGGGCTTTACTTATTCATTATTAAAATCACCTGGAATCCCTTCTCTAACAATAACAAAATAAAACCCAAACTCCTACAATAGCCTACAAGGTCCTTACACAGAAGCCTCCACACTCCTCAAGTGAGATCACCTCTTACCACCTGTCCCCCTGCTCTAAGCCTAAAATATTTACTATCCGGCCTTTTATAGACAAAGTCTGCCACCACCGTTATAGACTCTTAAAATCAGACAATTCTCTACTGGACTAATTACACTGCAGCCAAAACTTGGCTGTAGTTAGACATAGATGCAGCATTCATTGAGTCCACCACCAGACTCCAGACATTTCTAACTCTGTGGCACATGTACAAATCACCAGTCTTGCACTCTTTGAACCTCTCACTCCTGTCATGACCTCTACCCACGATACCCTGCTGGTTCTCCACCTAGGAGAACCTTTTCAACTTCAAAGCTCAACTCAAGTTCCATCTCCACAAAGCAAAGGTGCTAAGTCATCCCATCCAAAAGTGACACTGCTTTCCCCAAAGTACCAGAAGACTCACACAGTAATGCTTTTAGGGTAATCGTTACACAAGGGGAAACATCAAATAGCCTAAAGACCTTAGGCTTGGGGCCAGAACACCTCGATTTTAGGTCCCAGCTCCTCCACTTACTGGTTGTGTGACTTCTCTGTACTTTTTTTTTTTTTTTAAGATTTTATTTATTTATTTGAGAGAGAGAGAAAGCATGAGGGGGGAGGGTCAGAGGGAGCAGCAGACTCCTCGCTGAGCAAGGAGCCCGATGCGGGACTCGATCCCGGGACTCCAGGATCATGACCTGAGCCGAAGGCAGTCGCTTAACCAACTGAGCCACCCAGGCGTCCTGTACTTTTTTTTTTTTTAATCTGTAATATGGTGGTAATAGTACAGACCTCACACGGAGTTATGAGATTAAACGAATTAATACACATCAAGTGTTTAGAATTCATGGCTGGCATAGCAAAGGCACTCACTGTTCGCAACGGTTATTTCATTATTTGGATATTCATAACATCCTTCCAACAGAACTATTTGTCATGGAGCACATGGACAATAAATACTCAGGGTCAAAACATGTAATTTTCATTCACATTGCACCTGTATACTGCAGATACAGCAACCGTTTTTGCAAACAAACTTTAAAAACCAGGACATAATGCAAAGAACTGGGCTTTAAAAAATACTTGAATCCAAATCCAAATTGCAAAATTTGCTGTTTTGCTTCAAGAAGGTATTTAAACTCTCTGTGCCTCAATTTCTTAACTCGTAAAGTTGGAATAATATCTGTTTCACAGGGCTGTGTAAGACCAAATGACACAGTTAAGCACTGAGTATCACGTCTGGTTCACAGCAGGCACAGCATCAATTTTAGTTCCTTTCCCGTCTTCACATAAGATAAAGTTCCCACAACAATTTCTTAGAGCCTAACCATGACTGGATTATGCAAAATTAATTAATATAATTCATTAAACTCAAAATCCTGCAAAATGAGTTTACTTAAAATGAAGCTCTTTTGTATTTTACGATAGAAAACCTAAACTCTTGATAACGTAAGAACAAGAAGCCACCTGGGTTTTTTTTAAAGACGTTTTTTAGACTTTAAAGGCATTTCAAAGGCATTTTTCAAAAGTCATTTGAAGATTCAGCTTCCAAGATTGATCGAAAATGTGAAGGATGAAAACAGCGTTTCACCCGAAAACCACTGAAAAAATACACAGCAAAACCAAGGCAGATTACAACACCCAATTTTTTAAAATCAAAATTGTGTCAAAACACTGAACAACCATTTTCTAAAAATCCTGTCCAGACTCTCAAAACTAGCCCTTCTGTCCGTATCAAACTTAACCCGACCACAAAGTTGCCAGATGGGAGATAATGCCGCCCTAACTGTATCCCATCGCCCAGCACTGAATCGAGCCCATGCCCTGTTTTTATAAAACACCGTGAAGAAAAGCTGCTTGTAAAATCACTATTTGTAAATATTAAAGTAGTTTAAAACCCCAGAGCAGTCCTAATTTGGGGAGAGCCAGGTAGAGGAGGGAAGGAAGCGATCTCTAACCAAGTTCTCAAGCAATCGTGCCTTTTTCTTTCGCCTCGCGTTTATGTAGGAAGACTGCACTGTCATTGATCAAACGAGGTTACCAACAAAGCCTCAAAATCAACGTTTCAATCTCACAGAAATGTTTTAACGAATCAACTCGCTAGTTCATCAATTCTTTAAACTCAAAATTCTATATAAAGTCTCAGAGTCTTGGTAGTTCTTCGCCCCCCAACCGCCTTCGCTAAGGAAGAGAAAGGACGAAAAAGGACCTACTTGTCCCAGAAAGTCAGCACAAAGTACTCAAAAAGCGGCCAAATCTCAAAAGCTCATAGCCGCTGGTATCCCGGGACAGGCGGCGGGAACCACTCTGAACCACCCCTCAGCGCGATCCGGAAAATCAAGTCCTTTTTCTTCCCTCAAGGCAAATCCTGCCCCGCCCCGCCCCCCGCTCCGCCCCACAGCTCCCCAACCTTCACACCAAACCGGAGCTCAACGGTTTCTCGCGCACACCCGAGAGGCAAGAAAGTTCAAGGGAAGGAAAAAGTATCGCTAAACAGACCTGTTCTGGCATCAGGATCTGCCTCACCGGCCTCCGGAGGGCACGGGAGCCAATTAGTGTCAGCCAGCCTTCCGGAGCGTCAACGGCCAAAACCGTTAATTCTATAGCTTCACAAGCTATCCTCCCGCCGGAAGTCGGGCCTGGCCACGTGACACGCCCGCCTCGAGGACCCCGGAAGCTCCGGATCTACGCGCGCACTAGCGAGCACGCGGCACTCTTTTTCCCATACACGCGGCTCTTATCCGGCGGGCGCCTGCGCAATGGTTGGGGGAATAGGAACGTTGCTAGGGCGACAGCCAAGGGGAGGGGCTTTCCCTCCCATTGCGCAGCCGTCAGTGCCCGCCTCCGAGCGTCTGTAGCTGGGCGTTCGAGTTCAGATTTCCGCTCGCAAAAGCTGGTGGGATTGGGACCCGGCACTAGAGCGTAGCGGCGAGCCCCCAACGCTGAGAGGTGTTTCTGCGGCTGCGCAGGGGCGCCGGCGCATGGGCGCGCGATTCTTCCAGCGCCGGAGCCGCTTCGTGGAGAACGCTCGGCGTGGTGAGGCTGCTGGGCGCGTGTCCTCTCCACTGTCATTGGTTGATTTTTTGGAAAAAAAAAAAAAATTTTTTTTTTTAAAGATTTTATTTATTTATTTGAGAGAGAGAGAGCACATGAGAGGGGGGAGGGTCAGAGGGAGAAGCAGACTCCCCGCCGAGCAGGGAGCCCGATGCGGGACTCGATCCCGGGACTCCAGGATCATGACCTGAGCCGAAGGCAGTCGCTCAACCAACTGAGCCCCCCAGGCGCCTGAAAATTTTGTTTTTTTAAATGTAATTCTATCTCTCGCCCTCCCGTCACAGACGTCGACTTTGGCTCTATCCTAGGTGTGCGCGTCATTGCTGGAATTCGAAGGAGAGGATATGGGGCCTTCATTGTGGAGGTTTGGTACAAACGGGGAAAGTTATTTTAAAAAGTTGTTACCTCATGGGGAGGTAACACAGACCCTGGAGCCAGATTTACTGGGGTTAACTGCGGCCCCAACATTTAGTCCCTCCACGGCTTTGGACAAGTCAGGTAACAGCTCTGTGCTTGCGTTTCCCCATCTGTTAAATGGGCACAATGTGGGGAGTACATGAGTTTGAGTAAGCAAAGCACTTAGAACACTATCTGGCACATAAATTTGCTACGTAATAAAGGATACATGACATTATTTAGTGGCATATTGGCATATGTATATCGAGGCTGCCCATCTTTGGAAGGAGGCACAGTCTGAGTAATTATCAGAAGCAAAGCAGGTAAGTATTTTAAAGTAAAGCCATAAATCTTTTCCTGGCTCACAGAGGAGCTACAAGGAAAGTATAGTAGATATTGGAAATTTATTCTTTCTCCTCTCAAATACAAAACGAGATTAGAGAGGCGCCTGGCTGGCTCAGTCAGTAGAGCTTGTGTGATCTCGGGGTTATGAGTTGGAGCCCCATGTTGGGTGTTGAGATTACTTTAAAAAAATCTAAAAACAAACAAACAAACCCAAAACCCAAAATGAGATTGGAGCTCATTATACACTATTTTTTTTTTTTTTAAGATTTTATTCATTTCTTTATGAGAGACAGAGAGAGAGGTAGAGGGAGAAGCAGGCTCCCAAGGAGCAGGAAGCCCGATGCGGGGCTCGATCCCAGGACCCTGGGATCATGACCTGAGCCGAAGGCAGATGCTCAACCATCTGAGCCACCCAGGCACCCCATTATACACTATTTATTACTTTTTTCCCCTCATACTTTTGCTATAGCAGTTCCCTTTATGTCCAGTTCCCTATAAAACACTTGCTGTTTGTGAAACCCCAAGAATGCAGTTACATAATCCAAGAGAAACTGGTTGTTTAATTGCAGTCACGTTTATTTGCAGTTTCTATACACACTTTCTAGGTAATCAAACTTTTCTGGTACATTTTTTTTGAGAGGGGTTCACAATGAAACTGTCACCATTTTTACTAAAAATAAATACAAGACTTAAAGTGTTGCACAGCTCTAAAATATACAAAGGCTTGAATTGAATGTAAACGTTGAAAACATCTTACAAAAGAAACCATTTCTGTGACAATTTAAAAAGTTCATATTTACAAATATTACAAAAATACAAAATGGATGCAAGTCCATAAACCATTGTCTTTTTGGCCAGCATGAACTGGTTCTAGTACCAAAATAGTTACACTGTAACCTTCTTTATAGTTTTAAACCTTTGTCATGATCTAGTTCTCTAAGTCTGCTGTCACTGCAGCAAATGTACTCACTCACTGACCTTTGGCAAGAGCAAACAGTGTGTTTTGTTTGCTACAACTAGTCCATGTCCTCTACTTAGCCAAAAAAAACCCAAAAAACCAACAAAAAACAAAAAAACACCCCAAACACAAAAAACCAAAAAGTAAGGAAAAAAAAATTTTCCCCACACAACACAGACATGTTGTATAAACATAAAAGAACAAAAAATTAGCATCAGTGCAAACAACAGAAGAAAAGTTTGGATTGATGTTTTTTACAATACCTAATGTGTGTACCCTGCTTCAAAACGGTAGTGATGTTGAAGACAGCCCTCTAATTCTTGGTCTTATATGCTATGTAATAAAGCCATGTAGAATATTCCAGATTACTAAGGAATTCCTTACTTTTTTTTTTTTTTAACTCAGTTACTCAATACTCAACACAGTGAATTTAAAATCCATCATTATTTGGGTTTTTTTTAAATCTATGAAATATAAAATAGAGAAACTCTGCTATAGATTTTTAGAGTAAACAAAATAAGTAAAACTATATTATAAGGGTTAGTTCTGTGATCATTACATATAGAAGGAATCTTATTGCCTCACAATTCAAGTCAGTATGTATTTTAAAAAATATATGGTACCATTACTTAAATTGATGTCAATAATAAAAAGGTGACATATTTATTAAAGCCAATTAATGGGTTTCCTATTCAAGATTTAGAATCACTTTTAAAGCCCACATACTTTCTTTACGCTTAAAAAACCCCTAACTACACAAAAGCCATACTGCAAACGAACTGCTTTTATGAAAATTACAAAAGATCACCTATTGGGACTGGAAATGACGGTTTCTTAGCGCATTTGTCTAAAAACTTTATTTTTAAAATTTTGCCAAGTGTACTTTTCAAAGCATGAGAAAAAGTTTTTCGTGTTCCCATGTGGTGTCAAACCATGCTGGTTTTCTTGACTAATGGGTTCCAATGAGAAATGGTCCATTTTTTCAAACCCCCATTTTTCTTTTAATAAAAAGTATAACACTTTATACATGTTCAAATGTACCCTTTACCAAGTAGCTTATCTATCCCAGCGCAAGCACCCACACCCACACACCCACACACACACCCACACACACATTCTCCCTCCTCTACCCCGCCACCCCCAGGACCCATTTTACATACAAGGATGACAAGAAATTAAGAAATACAATTTGATAGTGAAAACAAATAGAAGACAGACATTTTTTTTCTTTACAAACAAACAAAAACCAACAGCAATCAGATTCTCTAATTCTCAATCTATAACATCTTAGAAAGTGTTTCTATTGAAAGACAGCATCCTCTTAGACCAGGCTTTCTCCTTCATGTTGTATGAATCAAACCAAAGCCACAAACCCGCTTTCACACATCCTACTTTCCCAAATACCACTTGCATAAACTTAAAGCCAGTTGCTAATCAATTTCTTGGTAATGCTGGTCTGTTCTAGCATTCTAATCACATTCTATTCTTTTATAGGCCATATCCCTTCTTAGTTCTCTTTACTTTCTACCTTGTCCCATTCAAAACATATTCTAAGTACATAGCTGCTTATATTTCTGACATATTTCAAACATTAGTATCAGTTCACGTTAAAATCAGAGGTGTAAGAACCATTTGCAGATTTCAACTTGTAACTACTTCTTTTTCAGTTTTAAGACAAGAAAATTCAAGTAATTTCAAGTAATTCAGCTTGTTTCCCTGCCTTCATTTTATCAGAGCACTTGCCCTGATATTTCCTTTCCCACCCACCACCCTCCCCTTTTGCCATCAAGCAGATATAGTAAAATCAGACAAAACTCATTTGTATGTAGCATTGTGAACCAGAGCTGTTCCCCATTCCCGGTTTAACAGTGAATATAAATAATGCATATACACATACCTATTTCCCAACTATATTGTTCACAGTGTCATTTCTGTTACTTTTTAGGTAGCATGAATCTCATCAGCACAGAGAGAAAGCTTCACTGAAAACCCATTGCAGGTACTTACTGATAAATCAATAGCTCTGTGGCATGCTTATGTTTTATTTTTGTTAGTTAAAGAACCTGGAGCTAATTGCTAAACTGTTTAAGGAGTTTATGACTGTTTATGTCCCCAGTAGCCTAATATAAAACATAACCTAAAATTGACTATTGTTTTCCCTATTCATTCTCTTTAAAGCAATCCATTGAAAACTTAAAAGTCTAAAAGACACTGTCAAATGTTGTTCTTCAGGGCTTTGTGTTGAGAATGATGATTTTTCTCATTGATTAAAAAAAAAATCAAAAGCATGCTTTTCATTCTGTCCAAATTACCACATGGCAAATCATAGCCATGTGTTACTATTCGCTTGTTTGGTGCTGCAATTTGTCACAAAAATGGTGAGGTCTGAATTCATTATTTTAAATTAATCACATTTCAGTATATGACCTCAAGATTTTCTTTATTTCACCAGTTTAAAATTCATAATTGAGGTTTATCACTCAGAAAATCATATTGGTGGACATTTAAATATGGTATTTTATATGAAAATGGTATTCACAGAATACAATTATTACACTTTATTTGTTGTGTTCTATAAACAGTTGGTGTGTGGTAGATAATTGGCCACATGTCCACTCGTCATTGATAAATCTATTTACACATTTTTATCAAAAATATGGTATTTACATGTGTGTAGTTCTTCTGAATTTTGCTTTAGTTCATTTTAATATAAAAAAATACCAAACCTCCAGAGTAATTTCATCTTCTTAAGAATTATGACAGTGAGGGCTTTGTTTTCTGAATAGGCAGCTCTGGGAAAACTTTTTCTAGGTTTCATGAAAAGCAGACATGTTCAAATTCTATATTATCAAAAGGAATGAGACTGGGTAAATCAAACGAAGCTAAAGAAAAATATGAAAGACAGTGCAGCTACTTAAAAATGTGGAAAATAATCAAGAAAGACCATCTTCCGTTTCCCCCGCAAATATTTAGGAATTCGTTGGTAAGCAGTGATGGTACCCCATGGTGTGCTGACTTCTCCCCAGTCCTCTGTTCTGTTCCTACATCCTCATATGACTAAGGGTTTTGGCCTTTGGCGGCCAGCCTGGCCCGGGCCACCTATGTTGAGCTCTGGGAGGATCGGTCGTCATGTGGGCTCCCATCAGAATTTTCTGTCTCACCCTCAGAGATGGCCTGCATGGGCGCATTGTACAGCCTGCAGCGGACGCTATAGCGACTGCTGCTGGCCGCAGGGGGCGCTCGCGAACGGCCAACCCTAGCCGATGCTGAGGTGGCAAAGTTCTTTGAGGCAAACCCTTCCGCATTAACTCTTGGGGAGCACGGAGAGAGTGGGGACAACGCCTCGGCCCCAGGTGCCCCCTGATGGGCCTCATGGGTGCTTGGTGGGGACTCGGCGGTGAGCTCTCCTGGAGGTTTGGGCAGGATGGGACTCTTGAGGATCTCAGTGGCAGACATGCGGTAACTAGAATCTGAGCGACTTCCTTTCTTGAGGAGTAGCAGCTTAAACTCTTCGTTCGATGTGTTGGACTTTTTGGCATTTCGGTAGATGAGGCCAGGAGACCTCTGGCTGTTCGGGGTGGTCACGTTGCTGTTGGGCAGAGTGACAGAACCGGCGCTGCCGCCGCCGCCGCCAAGAGGAGCCCTCGATTTGCTTCGAGTGGACATATCCCCAGAATCTTTTCTTCCAAGTACTTTCCTCTTGGACCTTTCAAGAAAAGGAAACATCTCAGTCCGCAGACATTTTTAGGAAACTACAAGTGTCATGCCACATCCACGCGCTGTCCTTAAAGAGCACTTGGGTGGACCCCCCCTGACTGGATAGGAAGCGTTAGGACCAGGAGGTGCGGAGTGAGATACAGTCCTTGCCCTTGGGGCACTCCCAGCCGGAGGGAAATTCTCCAGTCCTCGCGGCCGTAAACGAGGTTCTGTAAATGACCGGCTCACATTATGACTAATGTGGAGGCTACGGCTTCTAGGGGAGGACTCATTGGGATGTTTTACAAGAGTCTGAGAAAATACTGCTGTCTGGCTTCTGGTTAGAGTGTAGGCAGTGAAGGACTATAGCTTTCTCTTATTAACTCTGTCTCGGCCTTACGGATAAAATGCTCTGATGTGTGCGGTTGGCTTTCAGTGACTACCCGAAGAGCAAAGTGGATAGAGGTGTGGATGGGACGGGATTAGCCACAGGTTGATGGTGGACAGGCGTGGGTGATGGGTATGTGTGTCAGGGGGAGGTACGTTATACTATTCTGTCAACTTTTTAAATTTCTCCATATAAAAAATTTCTTACATGACTTGTTAAATAAATCAATCCATCTTTTGCTGTAAAGACCATTCTGTAGCTGCTTAGTAACATCAGCTGTGTATCAGTCAATAAGCCCACTTTCTGTGAGAAGCTAAAAACCTAGACTACCTCTGGAGCTCTTAAAGCTCTATATACTGTAAACTCTCAAGAAAACAAGGCAAAAAAAAATCAAGTGTCATCCACAAAAAAAACCCAACAAGGTCATTCTTTGTGCTGCACATAAATAAATCCTACACAAATGCAAATCTAAGATTACCAAGCTCTGTAAGTCTACCAAACGTAGGCATCTGTCATCATATTATTTCTTTTGGTAAGTAAGTAGGTGTAAACTTAGTGAATCTTCAGCATGATTCAGTATGTTGATAAATATTGGCAACATGCTCTTTCACCAACCTAAAAATCCATAGGGTAGAGAAAATGTCAGCTTTGCAGTTGGGAGACCAGCCTCATTTTGGTTCACTGAAACCTTTGTGGTGGTTATCTCGCATATGCCAGGGTCTGGCACTCCGATACGGTAGGAATTTCAAACTAACATTTGCTTTTAGCATCTACCATATTCGAGACACTAAAATGTTATTTTAGCATCAAAATTGAATTTGTGAGCTATAGGTATCTCCACTAACAGGGAGTAGGTAGAGAGGTTTTAACTGACAAGACTGGATAAGAAGTGGCAGCACTGAGATTCAATTCCAGATGTTTCTGACTCCACTACTTATGTTCTGTCCACTACTCCAGATACTAACATTTGGTCCTTTGCGGTAAGAACTTGGCTCTTTAACTTATATAGCGTTTTAGTAACTTGTCCTAAGAGAAAGTGTGGTAAGGGAAATATAATCAGATCTTAGACCACACGCAGAGCAAAGAAAAAATGAACTGATTCTTCACTCTCTGCGTGGCGAGGTGTGCCTGCTAAGGTATATACACACAGAAGGTGTTTCTGATGGACTCCTTTAAAAAAAAAGCTGTTGAAGAGCTGTGCTCCTTCTTTATGAGAAAACCACATCAACAGAAAATGCAAGTTCCCTTTAAAAGTAGAATTCCAGGGGCACCTGGGTGGCTCAGTCATTTAAGCGTCTGCCTTTGGCTCAGGTGATGATCTCCCGGTCCTGAGATTGAGCCCTGTGTCGCGCTCCCCGCTCAGCAGGGGATCTGCTTCTCCCTCTCCCTCTGCCCCTCCCTCTGTTTGTGCTCTCTCCCTCTCTCTCTCAAATAGATAAATAAATAAATCTAAAAAAAAAATAGTAGAATTCCTGGAAAAATGGCAAGCTTCTTGAAAAAAACTTGCTTCAAAAAGTATAACTTCAGGGATGCCTGGGTGGCTCAGTTGGTTAACCGTCTGCCTTCAACTCAGGTCATGATCCCAGGGTCCTGGGATCAAGCCCCACGTTGGGCTCCCTCCTCAGTGGGGAGCCTGCTTCTCCCTCTCCCTTTGCCCCTGCTCATATGCACGCTCTCTCTCTCTCTCTCTCTTGCAAATGAATAAATAAAATCTTTTTTAAAAAGTGTAACTTCATAAGGTAGAAAAGGCAGTTTCCAAGTTGTGTCCCTTGGGAGTCCCATATAGTTCCAAGGCCTAGTGGAAGAAAGCAGTCGTGGCTGTGAAAGGAGCAGGTACAGCAGGATTGGATAGCTCAGTCTAATCTGGGTTCGGCTACCGAGTGCAAGTTCCTGCTCTGTTCGTCAGTCACAAGTTGTAAGGAGTATATATTCTTGCAAACATGGTCCTTGATTGCAGGGGGCAGGGGGCAGGTGAGAGAATGTGAATGGGCAGCCTGGACACAATAGTGTCCTAGAAAAACAGCCCAGAGGACGTCCTCTGTTTGTGGGATTTGGGGTATTAATTTTAGAGAGGACCAATGTTATTAAAGAAGTTTAAGTTTTAGGAAGAGGGGGAGAAAAGGAGCAGTGATTAATTCTGAGCTATGAAACGGGCAGGTTTATACACTGTCTTGTCTCAAACTTGGGCTCTGACTGTTCAGTGAATCGGCTTGCATCTCTGCTAGTGTAGGATTACAGTTGTGAGCTTTTTTTTTTTTTTCCTTTTGGTTCAAGAAAGTATTTGTCAGAGATTACAACAGAGTGAGCTTTCACGCTGTTACTTAGCCACAAATTGTTTTCAAACGAAAACTTGTCACAAGATGTCTTTCCTATGGAAAACACCTCTCCCTTCGGCAGTTCTTATGGAAGTCTCTCAAGTCAGGTTGAGCTATATATAAAGGCTCACATTCCCCAACAGAAATATAAGTCTATCAGTTTGATTTGGAAAACTAATTTTTCTTTGCTTTTTTGCTGAATGTATCATAAGTACACAAGGCTTTCCTGTATTTGCATTTGATGAGATGCACTGAAAGAAGCAAAACTTTTGGTGTTAATTGCCTCACCTGTGAATGACTGCAAACAAATCCTCAGTTGTTCGAGGTTTGTTTGGAGACACGAACACACCTTCTGCTTCAGCCTGAGAGTCTTCACTAAGTGGCGAAACCATAGAGTCATCACTCGGTGACGATTCTTAAATGAAGAACAAAAGCATCTTTAAGAAGAAGTTACCAGATGGGGCGCCTGGGTGGCTCAGTTGGTTAAGCGACCGCCTTCGGCTCAGGTCATGATCCTGGAGTCCCTGGATCGAGTCCCGCATCGGGCTCCCTGCTCAGCAAGGAACCTGCTTCTCCCTCTGACCCTCCCCGCTCTCATGT